GCTGGCTCGGGCAGCTTGGCTCTTAAACAGAGCCGAAGTCTGAGTCAGGGGAGGAGCAGAGCAGCCGCGGGAGAGGAAGTGCCCGGCCGGTATTTTTCCCGGACATGTTCGGCTTTTTGGCAATTCCCCCCGGATGGGGGTTTGATTGCCGAAAAGCCGGACATGTCCGGGAAAAACCGGACGTATGGTAACCCTATGGGAAAGGGCAGCCCCTCCCTGGGAAGAGGGGGACGTGTTTGGAGCTGGTGCACCCAGAGCAAGGAGGGGAACCAGGAGTAGTAGGAAGCAGTCCAGGGAAGTAGCAGTGAAGGCTGGGAGAGGAAGTCCAGAACTGCTGGGTTGAGGGTCCCTGGCCTGGAATCTGCTGTAAAGTTCTTTTTTGAACCCTGTTTATGGTCTTGGCCTTCACAACATGCTCTGGCAAGGGTTACACACACATACTCACATCTTCCTCACCCAGACCAATTTTTGTTAGCTAATCTTTCTATTAAAATAGCACTAGGTCCCCAGTCATGCTCAAGGCCCCATTGTGCTAGGTGCTGCACATGTGCGTGTGACGAAGGGGTTATCGTTATAGATCAAATGAGTGCCAGCTCCCCCTCTCAGTCCACTGTTAGCCAGTTGATGTCCTTGTGTCAGAGTGTGGTGTGCCATGCATGCCTAGGCACTGCCCCATTGCACTACTGTTGGAAGGCTGTGCCCAAGCCCCGCCTTAGCTCAGCAGGGCCATGTCCCATCTGTCCCTGTCTGCTCTCTTCCACAGGCCGAGTGTGACGACATCTGCGGCGAGCCAGTTCTCCTCTATGAAATCCATCCCCTCTTCCCTCTGGAGTCACAGCTCCTTTTCCCTGGGAGAAGCCTCCGTGGCAGGTGAAGGCAGGGCAGATCTTCTCAGGACCCAATGCCACCAGGTTGCCCCAGAGGCACCAGGCTCTGAGCAGCAGACAAGATCCATCCTTGACTCTCTCATTGCTGGGCAGGCTGCGCACGACCGGCAGATCAAGCAGCTGATGGAAATGTTGAGCAGCTCCCGCCCCTTGGCGGGCCAGGTCTCAGTCTGCCAGCTGTGCCGCAAGGCACATCCAGGAAAAATGAAGGGTAAGAAAACTCAGGAGGAGACACAAGTGACTCCAGGAGACTCCTCAGCATCATCCAACCACAACAAGATGCCAGTGGTGTGGCTCCTTCCAGCAGACGGGCGCAAGACACAGGATGGAATGGGGAAAACGGCCCCCACCATGCAACCAAAGATGGTGTCCGTTGCTATGAGTAAAACAGGGCTTTCGCAAGCCGGGGAGAAAGCAACTGGGAGTCCTGACGGTTCTCCTCCAAAGCCAGCAAAGGCCTCCAGAGCTCGGACACCATCCCCTTCAAGGAGCAAAGATCCAGTTCTCAAACGGATCTTGATGTGCCTCAAGAAAAACTTCTCCAAGCTTCAAAACAAAGTGAAGTCCCAAATGTCCGGTCCCTTCACGCTGACCTTTGTGCGTAACATCACCGTGCGGGTGAACATCGCCTGCGGTGACACCGACGGCTGCAACGCCGGGGCCCTCCCAGGTGTGTGTCTGCTGCAAACCTAGAGCCCTGCTCCGGCCCCACCTGCCTGGAGAGAACCCAGGAGTCCTGGCTCCCATCCCCCCGCTCTAACCCACCAGACCCCACTCCCCTCCCAGAGCCGGGGAGAGAAGCCAGGAGTCTGGGCTCCCAGCCCTTGCTGCTCTAACCCCTAGCCCCCGCTCCCCTCCCAGAGCTGGGGACAGAACCCAGGAGTCCTGATTCCCAGCCCCCCTGCTCTAACCCACCAGTCCCCACTCCCGTGTCCGAGCTGGGATCGAACCCAGCGTGCGGAGACTCCTCACCCCAGGCTGACTGGGTGTGTCTGGCTGTTCTCAGTGCCAACCGTGAACCCCGTCCCCAACGGCCGACAGTGCCCGTCGTGCTTCGCCGCGGGGGCAGATCACTGCGAGGACGTGGAGCCCTTGGCCTGCACCGGCGCCGAGGACCATTGTGTTGAGTTCACCGGGACATTAACGCTGGGTAATTCCTCCAGATGGGGGCGGGGTCTGGAACAGAGTCTCAATGAGGTAGAACCCAGGCGTCCTGGCCCCCAGCCCCCTTTGCTCTGACCCACTAGACTCCCCTCCCCTCCCAGAGGCACGGAGAGAAGCCTGGAGTCCTACTTGCCGAGAAGCGAAAGGGGCACTCCAGGAGGATAAGGCCACTGCGGGGAAACTGAATGAATTCTTTGCACGGGTCTTCACGGCTGAGGCTGGGCGGGAGATCCCCACACCGGAGCGTTCTTTGTTGGTGTCAGTAGAGGCGGTTGATACAAAACTACTCAAGATCGTTCAGTCCAAAGCAGACTGCGAAGAGCTACAAAGGGAGCTCACAAAACAGTCCTGCTGGGAGGGGAGCGTGTGAGAAGCCTCATGGGGGTCGGGGGGGGATGTGGGGCCCCCCGATCACATCTCTCTCCCCCCGTCCAGGTGAGATCACCCTGCCGAAGGCTGCGGCTGGATGCGGCTCGCCTGGTGCCTGCGTCAAGAGAGTGGGGGTGAGGAAATACGCCCAGGGCGTGGTGGACATGCTGAGCCGGGCCGAGTGCTACCCAGCTCCCTGGGCCGGCGGGGAGCTGTGAGCCCCGGCCGGGCCCCCTTCCCTTGCCCTGCTTGTGGGGGCTGCAGTGCGCCTCCCCCTGGGGCACCGGCTGCTGCTTCTCTTTGGGGGGGATTGTGGTTCCCTTTTGTGCATTGGCTGAATAAAGCGAGTGGTGGGGTAAGGAGCCGGCCTCTGTTCTGTGCACCAGAGATACTGGGAAGAAGAGAACCCAGGAGTCCTGACTCTTAGTCCCGCACCCTGAACCCCTCATCACTGGCCCCACCCCAGAGCCCGCACCCCCAGCCCAGAGCCTCTGCCCCCTCCCACACCCCAACCATCTGCCTCAGCCCGGAGCCCCCTCCCATACTCCGAACCCCTCGGCTCCACCCCCCAGGCCGAAGCCCCTCCTGCACCCAAACCCCCTCATCACTGGCCCCACCCCAGAGCCTGCACCCCCAGCCGGAGCCCTCACCCCTCCCGCATCCCAACCCCCTGAGCCAGCGCGGTGAAAATGAGCAAGCGACAGAGGGAGGGGGATGGAGTGAGCAGGGGGTGGGGCCTCAGAGAAGGGGCGGGGCAGGGGGCGGGGCAAGGGTGTTCAGTTTTGTGCAATTAGAAAGTTGGCAACCCTACCCCACTCCCTTCTGAAAGCCAGGGAGAGAACCCAGTAGTCCTGGCTCCCAAACCTCCCCCCC